GGATACGGAGAGTAACAGTTTTCAAAGCACCTGCACGTCTGTATTAGTTTGCTAGGGCTGCAGTAACACAAAGTAGGTGGCTTACACAACAGATACTTATTTTCTCACAGTTCTGGAGGCCAGGAGTCTGAAATGAAGGTGTGTGCCAGCACCTTCTGAGGGATGTGAGGAAGACTCTGTTCCATGGCCTTCCCCTAGCTGGTGGTGGTTTGCTGGCAATCTTTGGCATTCCTTAGTTTGTAGAAGCATCACCCTGATCTCTGCCTCCATTTTCATATGACGTTCTCTCTACATGTGCATCTGTGACCAAATTCTCTTCTTTGTTAAGGACACCAATTATATTGGATTAGGATCCACCCCAGTGGCCTCATTTTAACTTGATTGCCTCTGTAAGTTCCCTATTTCCATATGATCACATTCTGAGGTACTGGGATTGGGACTCCAACTTATCCTTTTTTGCGGACACAATTCAACACATAAAACATCTCTATCTCCTATGACCCTCCTAACCTACACCCCACAGTTAACCACTTCTGGGCAAGTAGCAAGTCTTGTACTAAATATCTGTACCTTTCAGGCCTTCTTATGCTCCAAGCCTTTCCCACGGCCTTTCCACCTCCCACCATGCTCTTCTCTTTGCCTGGAAAACTCCGACTTATTCTTCATTTCTTAGCTTACATGTTACCTCCACAGGAGGCCTTTCCTGATTACACTCTCTTGATGGTATCTCCCATGTCATTTATTCTCATGGTTTCCTCTCCCCCTACCTCATGGTTCATTTGAACATATTTCTCTGTGTGATTGATTAATGGAGCTGTCAGACATTAACTCCTAGTCTGTAAGCACGGTGAGGGTGGGGACTCACCTACTCATCATTGTCTTCTCAGTTCCATAGCACATGATCAAAAAATGAAACTCCATAAGTATTTGTTGAATGAATGAATGAATGGATCCTCCATACCAACCTCACATAGTGTGGGATTAGAGGATGTTGAGTGAATTATAATAATTTCTGTTTGTATCCTCCAAGAGAGAGTGAGCTCTTTTAGGGTAATATTAGGTCTCTTTTGTTGTTATCCTCACTGGAAGATATTTTTCCATTGATTTTTAGGGAGAGTGGAAGAGAGGGAAACAGAGAAACATCGATGTGAGAGAAACACACCAATTGGTTGCCTCCTGCACTAGCCCTGACCAGGGCCCAGGCCGGGGAGAAGCCTGCAACCAAGGTGCATGCCCTTGACTGGAATCGAGCCTGCAACCCCTTGGTCCACAGGGGGACGCTCTATCCACTGAGCCAAACCAGCTAGGGCATGTGATTAGGTCTTAATTATTTTTTGAATCGTCAGCATTCAACCCCTCTCCTCCTTGATCTTCTATGAAGTAGTTATCTATGCTGCACAACAAATTACTCTGAAATTTAGGAGCTTAAAATAGTAGCATTTTTTATTTCACAATTTCTCTGAGACAGGAATTCAAGTATGACTTTGCTGAGTGTTTCTGGCTCAATGCCTCTCATGAGGTTATATTTTATGATTTTGGCAAGTCGTCTGAAGGTTTCACTGGGGCTGGAGGATCCACTCCTAAGGTTGCGCATACACACATGGCTGGCAAGTTAGAGTTGGTTGTTTGCAGGAGGCTTCATTTATTGCCCATGGGAGCCTCTTTCTAGGGCTGCTTGCTTGTCTTCACAACATGGATTCCCCGTGAGTGATCAAAAGAGAGCAAAGAGGAAGAGCAATGTCTTTTATGTGTTAATCTTGGAATTCATGCTCCATGATTTCCACCACATCCTATTGGTTATACTGGTCTGCTCTATTCAGTGTTGGAGGGGACTACACAAGGGCATGAATACTAGGAATCATGAATCATGGGGGTCCATGCTGGAGGCTGGTTACCACACACTACACTAGATCTCCTTTCCCCCTATTTACCCACACGCAGTCACAGAATCCTATTCTTTGGCTTTCAAATACTTATCACATTGTATGATTACATGTTCGTTTAATTATTTTAGTCTATCTCCCTCCACCAGAATGTCAGCTCCATGAAGGTAGAGATTGCACCTGTTCTCTTCAGCACTGGAGCCCGGTAACCAGCACAAGGCATAGAGTTGGTGCTCCGTGAATGTTCTGAACGCATTCTAATAATTTGGTTCTGTCAGAATGATAAGAATGTGCTTGTTTGTCTCCCATCTGCATTGTAGGCTCCTAGCTCAGGGCCTGGCACAGAATTAAGGCTTCTTCAATAAACATCTATAAACGTTTGTTGACATGGGCTGAGTGATAGATTTGGAGAAGCGAGGCGGGGCGGGGTCTCGATCTTGCTTCCCCAGGCCTTTCCCTCTGGCTCAAACCCACAGAGTCGGGACAAGTCTAACAAACCACCAGCCTTAGCAACGCGGGCGGAGCTGAGCCCGCTGGTTGCTAGGCGCGTCACTTCCGGGAACCGTGGTCGCGGAGAACCACTTCCGGGGGCGAGGCGGCGGCGGCGCGGGAGGTGAGTGCGGCGGCACCGCAGGCGGCCCGGCGGGGCTTGGGGCGGGGCGGAGTCGCAGCAGCGGCGGGAGCGGGGTGTAGGCTGGGGCCCGCGGCTCTGCGGTCCCGGCGGCTCTGCTCCATCGGCTTTGGTCTCTCCGCGCGCGGCCAGAGTAACTTCCCAGGGGCCGTTACGAAGTTACTTGCGGAGGGAACTTGAGTTCCCGGGAGGCGGAGCCCTCGCCTGGCGCCGTCCCGGCCAGAACCCCGCGTTCCTCGGGGCTCGGACCGGACCTTTCCTCCGACCGGTGGAGCCAGGCTCCGGGGTTCGAGGCCTGAGGGCCCCGTGGTGCTGTGTGTAACCGGGGGCCATCTCTGGCTTCCTCGCTTGACCTGAGGATTAAATGAGATGGTGAATGCTAAGCAGTTGGTGAAGGTGCACAGTGCGTGTTGGGTGAATTCTTTTCAGAGCAACTGGGAAACGAGTACGTGAAACCTCACACTTTTTAAGTGGTGCAACAAATTCTAGTTTATTAATTACATTTTGCAGGACCCCTGGACCCCCGTTTCAGCCCTCTGGCTTCCAGTCTGACTGTGCTCTGGGAGATGACATTTTGCAAAACTTTAACCCACTTTGGAGCATTCTTGGGAATTTGTTGTAAGGGGATGGGGTCTGGTTATACGCAGCCCGTTGCTATGGGACAGGGACCAACTCATGATACTGATTTTCTATTCCCTAGTCTGTTTCAGTTGACTTCTCAAAATAGAATTTTATTTTATTTTTTAAAATGAAGCATGCCTTTAAAAGAAATTTTATTTTATTTTATTGATTTCAGAGAGGAAGTGAGAGGGAGAGAGAGAGATAGAAACATCAATGATGAGAGAGAATCATTGATCGGCTGCCTCCTGCACGCCCCACACTGGGGACAAACCTGGCAAATTCCCGTAACCTGAGCTACGCCTGTGGGCTCAGAACACAATTTTAAAATCGCTTCATTAGAAGCCAAGAATCCCCTACCAACACACTTGGAATCTGGGTTTTTCAGTCTTAGAGAAGATTTTATTTCAATTTGCTAAGTCTGGAGAGCTATAAACGTCTCCGGGGTTATTTATTTTGAAATGTTGACTTTTTCAATAAACTTATTTTAGAACAATTTTAGATTTACATAATTACATATTGTGAAGATACTACAGTGAGTTCCCATATGCCCCACACCCAACTCCCCTATTAAACATCTTACATTAGTAAAGTACATTTTTCACAATTAATGAACCAATATTAGTAAGTTATTAACTAAAGTCTATGCTTTATTCAGATTTGCTCAATTAGATTGGAGTTGTAAGCTATAGTGAGGAAGACCACAGAGATAAAGTTCCATTCTTATCACATCACATCAGGGGCACATACTACCAAATATAAGTTATCGCTGTTGATGGTAATTTGGATGACTAGCTTGAAGTAGTCAAGTCTTTCTACTGTAGTTACTCCCTTTCAGTTGTCTCCTATATCCCTTTGACATACCCCAATCAATGTTTTGTTCTGTTGAACACTTTCTTACTTTCTGATCCAGGGTTATCTTGCACGTTTTCTGCCTCAGTCCTAGAATTAATCATTTCTCCACAGAGTCCTGGTTCCTTTTACTGGAGAATGGTATTAGACACCAAGATCTGGGTACGAGGGGTACTCATTGCTACTGGGATGCTCATGCTTCTAGGCCCTCTCAGTGGACAGAGCAAGAGATATGTGTGTATCTCTGTATACACTTATGTATCTATAAATATTTCTATATGTAGCCACTGGTATCTATATTAAGCTAAACATGAGTTCATACTTGTGCCTGCAACTCTTATCCATTCCATGCGAATCATTCTAGTCTCCTGGCTTATCTGTAACCTCCCACTCCAACAGTGATAAACCTAGCTTTCACCATCTCCCATTCATTTACTTAATTGTTCAATTCCTGTATTCATATATAGTGGCTTCAGAATTGTTAACCTATATCCCCTGTGGGAATAACTTAATCGACTGGAGTACAGTGCACATGTATTGTTCCGTTTGGTTTCATCTTACAGACTCATTTCCAAAGTTACTGAGGTCAGTATTTGATTCTACAGACCCCTTCAGTGAATTTTTTAAATGCATTTATATACACTTAGATTCAGAATATCACATTCTGTATTGCATCTGAGATATCCTGACCTCCTAAATGATTTTTTAAAAATATTTGCACTCACAAAAGTTTACTCTTTGTGCTATAAAATTCTATGGGTTTTGACAAATGCTTAAGGTCCTGTATTCACTATTGTAGTAGCATACAAAATAGTTTCACCTTTAGGGATTATTTTTAACTTCTCTCAGATTTCACCTCAGCAATCATGTTGGCTCTTTCTTCAAAATATATCTATAACCTGAGAATTTCCCACCTCCACTGCTACCACCCTGGTGCAAGTGTGACTGTTTGACTATTATAGTTACCTCCTAACCGATCTCCTTGTTCCCTACAGTCTATTCTCCACACAGCAGCCAGAAGGACCATTTTAAGATGAGTCAGACCATGCCATCATCATCATCATCATTATTATTATTATTTCTAAGAACCTTCAAGTGACTTCTCTTTCACTTAGAGGAAAAACCAAAGTCCTTTTAATGGCCTGTTGACCCTACACAGTTTGCTTTCTCTACTGTTCTTGATCATCATGTTCATTCCTGCCTCAGGACCTTATCCCTTGCTGTTCCTTCATCATGGGGTTCCCTAACAGGTATTTTAATTACTTGTTCCTTTGCTTTCTTCTGCTGAAATGTCACCTTCTCAGGAAGTCCCTTCCCTGACCACCCCACATAAACACCCTTTTTATATTTTCTTATAATACTTACCCTGACATTACATTATATGTGTGTATGTATGAGTGCCACTAACTGGATGGAACCTCCATGGCAAAAACTAGAATGTACATAGTAGGTTTTCAATAAATACTGAAATGAATGCCTCTGACCACTAGTGTCTGGAATTCAGAAATGAACCTCAAGGGGTATAGTAATGAAATTATTTGCCATGTTTGGTAATAAATTAGTATGCACTTTTTATTAAATTCTGATAGGGGTATGAAATTTCCCCTTTGCTCATATATATATTTCAGAGAGGAGGAGGAAGGAGAGAGAGAGAAACATCAATGATGGGAGAGAATCATTGATGGGCTGCCTCCTGCAAATCCCACACTGTACATTGAGCCCACAACCTGGGTATGTGCCCTGACCAGGAATTGAACCTGACCTCCTGGTTCGATTCCTGGTCAGGGCACATGCCCAGGTTCATGGGTCGATGCTCAACCACTGAGCCACGCTGACCAGGTGCCCCTTTGCTCTTTAGCAAGTCTAAGCACCACAGGATTAGAGAGATTGCAGGATATTCATCTCTGCTCTGATTCACTGGGAAAGCCTAAGCAAGACCCATGCCTCTCAGCTCCTCCTCATTGTTAAATGAAGCAGTTGGTTGAGGCATCTGCTCTTGCTTTAAAGGTGGAAAACAGGCATAGGCCTTACTATTTACCAAATATTTCAGTCAGGACCAAGAACAAACTCAAGATGGACCCAGGGTCCCTGTTGTCCAGGAGCTTATAGTGGAGCAAGTAAAAAACTTTAGACTCAGTGTAGCATTTATCAAACAATAGGAAATAAATGTTGAGTTGTGGCCAGGTGGCTCAGTTGGTTGGAGCTTGGTCACGTACACCAAAAGGTTGCAGGTTCCATCCCCGGAGACAACTGATCAATGTTTCTCAAATTGATGTACCTCTCTCTCCCTTTCTTTCTAAAAAGCAATAAAAACATATTCTCTGGGTGAGGATTACAAAAAAACAAAAGAAATAGGTTTTGACTTTTGACCCAGAACATCTATACTTGGATGTAGATGGATATGACTGAAAAAAAGGTCAGGACACAATACTCACCCTTGCTAATGTGATATTTTCTATTATTTATTTATTTATTTATTTTTAATTTAAATTCTTTATTGTTTAAAGTATTGCATATGTTTCTGCGCCCCCCCGCCCCCCCCCCCCCCATTGACTTCTCCCCGGCCATTCTCACTCTCCAGCACATGCCCTCACCCCCCTACTGTCTGTGTCCATGGGTTATGCTTATATGCGCATATAAGTCCTTTGGTTGATCTCTTACCCCACTCCCAACCCCCCATTCCCACACCCACCCCCACCTTCCCCCTGAGATTGGATGGTCTGTTCGATGCTTCTATGTCTCTGGATCTATTTTTGTTCATCAGTTTATGTTCATTAGATTCCACAAATGAGTGAGATCACGTGATATTTATCTTTCTCCAACTGGCTTATTTCACTTAGCATAATGCTCTCCAGTTCCATCCATGCTGTTGCAAATGGTAAGAGTTCCTTCTTTTTTACAGCAGCGTAGTATTCCATTGTGTAGATGTACCACAGTTTTTAATTCACTCATCTGCTGATGGGCACTTAGGCTGTTTCCAAATCTTAGCTATTGTAAATTGTGCTGCTATGAATGAACATAAGGGTGCATATATCCTTTCTGATTGGTGTTTTTGATTTCTTGGGATATATTCCTAGAAGTGGGATCACTGGGTCAAATGAAAGTTCCATTTTTAATTTTTTTGTTGAAATGCCATACTGGGTCAAATGGGAGTGGCATTTTTAATTTTTTGAGGAAACTCCATACTGTTTTCAACAGTGGCTGCATCAGTCTGCATTCCCGCCAGCAGTGCACGAGGGTTCCTTTTTCTCTGCATCCTCGCCAGCACTTGTCGTTTGTTGATTTGTTGATGATAGCCATTCTGACAAGTGTGAGATGGTACCTCATTGTCATTTTGATTTGCATCTCTTGGATGATTAGTGACTTTGAGCATGTTTTCATGTCTGGTGGCCTTCTGTATGTCCTCTTTTGAAAAGTATCTATTTAGGTCCTTTGCCCATTTTTTGATTGGATTGTTTATTTTCCTTTTGTTAAGTTGTATGAGTTCCCTATAAATTTTGGAGATTAAACCCTTATCAGATATAACAACATAAACTAATTAACAAAAACAGATCCAGAGACAGGGAAGCATCAATCAGACTGTCAAACTCCAGAGGGAAGGGAGGGGAGGGTGGGGGTAAGGGGGCAAGATCAACCAAAGGACTTGTATGCATGCATATAAGCCTAACTAATGGACACAGACAACAGGGGGGTGAGGGTATGAGTTGGGGAGGTTGGGGGGGTTATGGTGGGATAAGGACACATATGTAATACCTTAATAAAGAGATTAAAAAAATTTTTTTATGGTTTCCTGTCATCCTTCCTTGCCTCCATTGTCAAATATTAATTGAGTATAATGGCTTGGGTCGATTTCTGGGTTCTTTGTTATGTTCCATTGGTCTGTATGCCTGTTCTTGTGCCAGTAGTAGGCAGTTTTGAGAAGAGTGGCTTTGTAATATAGCTTGATATCTGGTATTGTGATCCCTCCAACTTTGTTCTTCTTTCTCAGGATTGCTTTGGCTATTTGGGGTCTTTTTTTATTCCATGTGAATTTTTGGAGGGTTTGTTGTAGCTCTGTGACATATGATGTTGGTATTTTAATGGGTATTGCATTGAATCTGTAGATTGCTTTGGGTAAGTATGGACATTTTAATGATGTTGATTCTACCAGTCAATGAACATGGTATATTCTTCCATTTATGTCTTCCTCTATCTCTTTTTTTCAACATCCTGTAGTTTTCCGAGTACAGGTCTTTTACCTCCTTAGTTAAGTTTATTCCTAGATATCTTTTTTTTTTAAATATGTTTTTATTGATTTCAGAGAGGAAGGGAGAGGGAGACAGAGATAGAAACATCAATGATGAGAGAGAATCATTGATCGGCTGCCTCCTGCACGCCCCCTACTGGGGATCGAGCCTGCAACCCAGGCATATGCCCTTGACCAGAATCGAACCCGCAACCCTTCAGTCCGCAGGCCGACGCTCTATCCACTGAGCCAAGCTGGCTAGGGCTATTCCTAGATATCTTAATTTTTTTGTTGCAATGGTAAATGGGATTTTTTTTTAGTTTCTCTTTCTGTGAGTTCATTATTGGTATATGAAAAAGCCATGGATTTCTGGGTGTTAATTTTGTATCCTGCTAAATTGCCAAATTCATTTATTAAGTCTAGTAGTTTTTTTATAAAGTCTTTAGGGTTTTCTATGTACAATATCATGTCATCTGTGAATAATGAGTTTTACTTCTTTTCCAATTTGGATGCCTTTTATTTCTTCTTGTCTGAATGCTATGGCTAGCGTCCCCATCTCCCATTTATTTATTAAAAAAAAAAGTTCCGTCATTTCAATGTATGTACATTTGTGCTTTATATTTTTTATTATTTATTTACCACAAGTAAAGGTTGTTATCTTTCAAATTTTTTTTTACTGTTTCACTTCATTACTGCTGTGTGTGTGCTCCATGTGAGCGATGTAGGTGGGTTCTGATTTACAGCGAAAATCGCGCTATGTCGCGCCGTAGGAACGGATCTCCAACATAACCCGAGGACCTACTGTACTATGTTGAACAGGAGTGGTGAAAGTGGGCATCCCTGTCTTGTTCCTGTTCTTAGGCGAAATGGTTTTAGTTTTTGCCCATTGAGTATGATGTTGGCTGTAGGTTTGCCATATAAGGCTTTTATTATATTGAGGTATGATCCCTCTATATTGTCAGTCATTTAAAGTGCTGGCTAATAAAAAGAAAAAAGTGCTGGTTACAGCTTTGGAAATGGTTCCCACAGCTGTTTGAAAACCATTCATAGTGGGTGAGAGTTCAGGGTCTGGAGGAGTGAGCCAGTTTCAATCCTGACTTTGCCACTTCTCAGCCAAGTAATCCTGGCAGGGCCATGGAAGCTCTCTAAGCCCTGGTTTCCTCATCCTCATTGGTAATGCCTGCCTCCCAGACTGGTTGTAAAGTGAATGAGATGAGTGTGTGTGTACCCTGGGAAATGATCTTTTCACTGTTACTGCTGTGACAGTGGCCAGGGTGTGTTGGGGGGATGGGGAGTGAACAAAGCCTGTCACAGGAAGCCTGAGGGTAATGCTCCTAATTGAGAACTGAAGGATGAGTAGGACTCTTGTGACTTCTGTAATCAGGAAAGGAGAACCCAGAAATACTGGCAGGCAGGCTGGTGTTGCTGGTGACTACCATATTAACGAGCACAAATATAGAACATTTCCATCTTTGCAGAAAGTTTTATTGGACAGTGCTGCATTAAACCCTGTAAAAGTCTTGTGAAGGAAGTACACAGGGCATGGATTTTCCTTTTATTTTTTTAATTTTGTAATTATTATTTTTAAAATTCTTACTGGAGGATAAGATTTTAGATTTTAGAGGGAAAGGGAGAGAGAGAAACATCGGTGTGAGAGAGAACGATTGGTTGCCTTCATATATGTCCAGGAATCGAACACACAACCTAAGTATGTGCCCTGATTGGGAATCGAACCCAAAACCTTTCAGTATACAGGATGAGACTCCAACCAACTGAGCCATACTGACCAGGGCAGAATTTTCCTTGTAAATTGTATTCATTGTTTCAACATTATTCCAAAAATTAAAACTAATGATTCCTTCACTTTAACAGCAACTATTTACATTTTCCTATGGCCTCTTTTGATCTTTAGCCAAAGAAATCACAGTTTCTACATTGTTGCAATCACAGTGTTTATATAATTGTTTTATTTTTTCTTCTCTTTTTTTGTGATACAGTTTTTTATTTGGGAGGGACATATTTGTA